GTCCTAAAGGAATGAGAGTTTATGCCAGAAGATACGTATGATGTTTTTATTTTCAACAGGAAGATTGCCTAACGAGATTAATAAAATTTCTTCCCTATATTCTATATTTGAAGAACAATAAAACGGGAAATCGAAAATAAACAGAAATAGCAGACGGAGACTAAAATAACCTAATATAAATACTGCCTCCTTATCTTGCTGGTTAAATATGTAAGAAAAATTAATGCAGTTAACTAGTTTTCGAAATGCTTTCCCCAGATGAGCAAAATGGTGTCATCTAACAACCTATTTCTGAACAAAAACAGTCAAACCGTAAGCTTGTTAGCAGTTTTCTCGTATGAACGATAAGCTGTATTTCCTAAACGACACATACGATTGTTCGACTGGCTGGCATTGTTCCGCTGTGCTGCGATGTCGTTAGGTCAAAAATCTGTACGCCATTAGGGTAATTGAAAAGGGAAACTCGATGAAGTACGGTGAAACGATCGCGCTCTCTAGCTCGCTCTCAATTACGCCGACTAGAACCACTCTCGGAATTAGATTTCCGTGAGTAACGTACAAGTGTTGGCTGTGCGACACGCTGCACTCCTTCTCTCTCTCTCTCTCTCTTTCTCTCCATCCCTCTTTAGTATCGTGTTTCATAGCGTACAGTTTTGCGAAGCATACGTGCAGTTTTCGGGAGGTATTAAAGTAAAATGCCCGATAATGGTCAACAGAATTGTTGACCGGCTAATCAGTAACATGAGACAATTTTGGAAGGAGCTGAAAGGTTTAGTCGATCGACAGTTTGGGCAAATCAATCCATATCATCATAATTCATATTTTCTATTCGCCTCAGACATGCGTCCTAGAAGTTTCATTTTTGCTGGTTAAAGCAGTATACAGTGTACAGTGGCGAACTCCCTTGGTTCGAAGCAAAGGTCGACTTAATCTCTGAGTGGATTCACTGACACAGAGACTTCACTGACACAGAAGGAAGACTTTTCTTGGAGACCGAGTTCATTAAGGCGCAATTAAACTCTCGCGAAACTTCCTCGGGAACTGTTCGTGCAGCCGGCCGCGAATGCAAATCCCAAGTCTCGCGTGGCGCTGATTGGCCGGCTATCAGGGTTTCTTGGTAATTAGTGATCTGTAGGTAGAAAGCATTCTTTTCTTGCTCGCGTCGTTCCACGTCTATTAAAACGAGCTACTTGAAGAATTATTAATATTTCTTCCTGTATATTAAACCTGTGATATCCACCCCAATGTATAATATTCATTAACGTGTGTTGTGAGTTTTCAATATTTATTACGTGATAAACAGAAGCGATCGATTCGAAACAATTGAAAGTATCAGTGAGGAACAAAAGGAATTCTACTTCTATTAGTCTGTAATCCCTAAATGCTAACGAGTAACAAATCCTTTTTTCCACACCCTCGGTACAACAGCGCAAACACCCATGTGTACCCCGTTTCGCGTTGTATCGGGACAAGTTCACAAAATCCTGTACCATTTAAAAGCAACGTCGCCCGCCTTCTCCATATTCATGAACGACACGGCTTTACGGAGTTTGCCGGTTGTCCAGGTGGACTTCGTCGTTGAAAATCATTCGAATAGCTACTAACCACGTCGGAAAAGAGTCGTTTACGACGATTTTCTCCCCTCGCGGATAGGATTTCGACGGGAAATGCACACGCGTCATTAGCAGTACGATTACACGGAAGCCCGTAACGACTGCCGAAGTAGTCTTCGTGGAGAGTTAATTTTCGAATCGCGCTCGCGGAATTTCCACCGAATTACTGGGGAGTCTCGTTTCACGAGAAACCGTGGTCGCGTTTAACGTCGACTGTCTCGTCATGGAGGATGGATGGTAACGTAATCAAAATACGATGTGCGTGAAGCTGCAAATTGTACTATTAAAAAATAGTAGCAGTACATCCGTCTAAAAATATACAAACTTTCTATAATCTTCCTTAATCATTTTGGAATAGAACTATTCATTACCTATACGCGCATATTCAAGTTTTCAGTACAAACTCTTTCCATCTTTGTTTATACTTTTCTACCAAATAGAATTAAGGACACGATTCCGATGGAATAAGCTAGCGAAAACGATGAGTAAAGTGTAGTCGGTTTTTGATAGATTGCTTCTACTGTTCAGTTCACGAGTTAAAGGAGGGGCGTCGCGACGCTTACGAAACGAACGTGGGAGAAATGAATGGTGGATGGAAGAAAAATGGTTTAGAAGCGGAAAGAATGAGACGGGGCTGCACGGACAAAAGAAAAAAGTAGTACGTTCCTCTAGTTGGCTGGCGGGGCATAAGCGTGAAAAGCAGGCGAATCCCAAAGAACCATGAACCATATCCGTGCGAGCAGGACAAAGAGCATAAAGAAAGAAACGAGCCGCACTGTGGCCCAAGAATTGACCGATCGAAGTTATTGCAGGAAGAACAGCATGAGAAATTCGCAAGATGACGGCAGAGACTTTCTGTTTCGTAATGACTGGCCGTGTCAGTAACCCAATATTGCTGACTGAAATTTATATAAAACAGTCGTGTGTAAAACTCGAATTTGTTTTGTAGATTACGTACATACCTATGTATGTAGGTATGTTTTCTTGGTAAATCTGATGGTAATAAATATAAAAAGTACGACATAAAATTGTTTCCAAAGAAATTTTTATAGAATTTATATCGCTCGTTCTGGTAATATTGTATATGACTTACAGTTTAATATAACAGGAATTTAATAAAAGAGCGGCTGTATTTCCTATAAAATATCCCGTTTAATATCATTAATTTGACTTAACGGCACATTTTATTAAACAGAGTGCTTTCCCAGTAGCAGCGATCGCTGTTGCAGTTGTTCATGTTACATCTAGTAATAAATGTATCACCCGTTTTTTCCTCGTTTTTAAACATCGCACAAAATACGTCCCTTGCGTTGTAATTGTTATTTTGCCTCCACGTTTTACTTCCGACATTTTTATTTGCGAACCACGTCGCAGAACGCGTTATGAGCAGAATGAACAATTCCAGAAAATTTTTCGTATTTTTTTTTCACGATGCGCGTAATTTGCAATTGGAGAATGCGACGCAGTATTAACAAAGGCCTTTATTCTCAGACATTTATTATACGTATTAATGGAGGGGGAGGAAACTTCGAAAGGATTTCTTCTCAGATTATACCTCGCAGAATCCACTGGCATCTACAAAATCAGAATCATTTTCTTCTTTATTCGCGTTTAAAGAACTCTCGCTCGAGCGTTGACTTCTTTAGTTTTAATAATCCGCCCATTGAGAGCTTTTAAATAGAAAGTAATACCGGATGATTTTCATTTGTCCGCTGCTTTTAATACCGAATATTATAATCCTATTAGTACATGCCATAATAGCTTCATTGAAATAAAAAGTATTAACACTTCTTTACATCATGTCGAAGATGTTCTTGCATTTATGATGTATCTAACATATTTAAGTGCTTCATAACTAAATACTTATTAAACTACTATAATATAAGTTTGGATTCACTCATTATGGTGAATTCTCTAATTTCGTTAATCTTGATCGTTAATTGATGATAATTATATTTCGCGGAAGAGAAGACGAGAGGGTAATAATTTCAAGTGAAATCCAAAAACACATAATATGTTTCGATAAAAAATACCGATTGTTAGGAAGGCACAGATAGTTAAACATAGTGGATTCCTGGAAACGCGGTTATTAAGCAAGAATGCATTCGAGCAACAAGAATGTGTTGGTAGTCTAGTGAACCAAGTTAGTCCCTGCAGAGAGCGACGTTGAGTTAAAGTGGAATTCCAATCTAATACCCGGAGAAATAGCAAACACAATCATCAGCATTGATTAAAATAAATGGACGTTACAGGGAAGAATGTAAAACAAAGAACGTAACCGTCGTTTATCAATAAAATTGAATTCAACGATCAATACTGACATCAATGAGAGTTGTACAACGATTCTGTCGCGCAGTATAGTCGATGCCAGTAACATCAGCAAGAATCGCGCTCAGTCGTCACGCAAACGATAGTGAATGCAAAAAGATACCGGTGATCGTCAGCAAGAACAGTCGGGCGCTATCGAAATCACGATCAATCATGTACAAACAGGTATTCAAAACACGCTCAAGTATACTTATGGTACGACATACGATATTTCTTCGTCTGGTATTTCTTGAAAAAGTGGTTTCCTCACCACTGAACAGAATCGAATAGGTTGTAAGAAACAGATACTCGGCGAACTCTTTACTTATCGTTTTATTATTCAAATACAGTATAATGTTCTCATATTTGTGTGTATTATTTATATATGTATTTCTTATAACGTCGTTACTGAATGAAACCGCGAGGAATGTAATCGCGAGGAATTAATAATGTTCTGACGTTACACGTAACGTAACGAAAATGCCTCGCCGTCTTGGAACGAGCGCGCTCCCCTTGTAGAGCAAGAAAAAGGAGCCGCGAAGGTGAAGAAGAATAGGACTGCACTACTTTCAGTCGCAACGAACACACGGATGAAGATGCAGAAAAAAGATAGGAGAGATAGAAGCATGGTAAAAAGAGGAGGAACAGCGTTGACAAAGAAGATGGACTGTACAAGCGAGTAAAATGGAACGAGATAGAAAGATAGTGAACCGGGAGAAAAATAGATAGAAAAGATAGAGGCATAGTAAAGAGAAGAACAGCGACGACGAGGAAGACGCGTCGTGACAGCTAAGTGGAACAAGATAGAAAGATAGAAAGTCGGGAAGAAGGAGATAAGGGGTAAAGAGACGCTGGGGAAAGACGGAGAAGCTAAGGCTGGATAGTTGCAGAGACAGAGAGAGAGAGAGAGAGAGGGAGAGAGAAAGGAGCAGGATGAGGAGGTTGGTGGATTTCGTAAGCGCAGAGGGGTCGGGGGTGGCGCCGCGGGCTGCGCCGTCGCCCAGCATCCCTCGTTTTACACCCGCCCACCCTCGGAAAGGCGCACCCTCACGCTGTGAGTATCTGCTAGTCATACGCTGGCCCGTTGCGAGCCCGCCGATATAACAGCGCCTCTGTCGCACGCTTCGCTCGCCTACGTGCACGCTTTTCCGCGTCGCATTGTGATTGCTGCGAGTCGTTGTTGACCCAGTTAGGGCCCGCGTAACCGTTGCCGATGAGGCGGTCGTGCATTCACGCGTGTGAGTTTTCCGCGAATAATTTTCAATAGGAACGAGTGAGAACCTCCTGAGTGATTAGTGCGACAATCGAAGGGACAGAACTATTCAAAGCGTTTTCCTTTAGTTAACGCGGACAATCGCTGTTACGCGAGTCTAGATTCGCGTGCGAAGTGGTGATAACATTGGAAAGAGGGAAAACGCGATATTCGTTGGCACGCGGAACAATCCTTTACGACCCGTTCTCGTCCACATGGTTCGTGTTTTGCTCCTCCACCCTCTTTGCCTCCCCTGCGTGGCTCACTCTGGACTATCCACAAGGCTAGGACTAGCCCGCTCGTGACGGGAACACGCGAACATCATCTGGCCGGTGTATACCACCTTGAGGTGTACACGTGAAAGGTGCAGCCAAGTCTTAACCCACAGGCTATGTACAATGTCCGCGCAACGTCATCTTTGACCGGATACGTATACCGGTGTACTAACACGGGGATCATTCTCGACATTGTGTACCGAGACAATTGATTCGCTGTCATCGGCGACGCGCTGTGACGTAAACACCTAGCCATTACTGGATTTCTGTGGTTCAAATTGACGCGTTATCACATTCAGGTGGTCAACGAGAGTGTTAACGTTAGATTTACAACGAAATTTTCCCGTTACGGAGTACGAGCGAGAAAACTTTTGTACTTCATCATGAAGGTCTGAACGCGAGGAACATTTTACAGGCGGCTAGTGACGTTTAATTGATAATATAGGAATAGAATAGATTAGTTATTGTAGGAATAGAATAGAATACGGGAAACGGTAGTCGGCATTCCCCGATAGACTACACCGTTCCACGTTTCGGTGGGAATGATAATCGATACGATGGAAATGTTCATGATATTAGGTATCTGCTTCCTGTGCTATGAAATGTGCGATTTGATCAGACGTTACACCACGCCACAAACGACGGAGCCGCGCCGCTCCCTCGAAGCTTCCGCAGCACCACCGTCTCAACGTGTATTCTCAATTTCCCATAGGATACAGAATCGTCCAGCCTGTTGCCCACAGTAAACCGTTGTTACTCCGTTTACTGAGTCGTCCCTCGACGGTTTCTTCTCCTCGATTCTCCCGTGGTTCTGAACGAAAGTGGCTGGAAAATTTTCTGAGGAAACCGCTGGAAAACGGAAAATCCTCAAAGGAATGAGAAAAACAAATGGCGAGCTATCTCGTTTAGAGAAGCCACGGAAATTAGTTGCGTTTACGCGGCTGACGTGATCGCCTGATCTTAATAAAGTGTTTTGCATCCATCACGTTCAGGCAGGATACGACGAGCTGTGGTCTTTGGACGAAGTTGACGCTCCCTAATGTACTTGACATCATGAAGCGTCCGATCGATACGGGAATGTAAGTGTGCCCATATCGCCCTTCGCTTCGTTATCGCGATCGATGCAATCCGATCGATCATCTCGTCGACGCAATCTTCATGCTGGTTACTCTCTTCATGGAATCGGGACTGTATGGCTACGGAAGTGCACGAGTGTTTTCGAATTCACGTATACAGTACGATCTTCACGAGGAAGGAAAATAAATTGGTTAAGTTGTTCGATAGAAAACGTACGATTTCACTGCCTGTCTTTGGGGAATAAACTCGAAAGAACGTGTTCCCTTAACGCTGAAATAGGTTCAGTCTGGTTCGAAGGATGCAGCGAGGGTGGTGAATGACCCGTGAAATACGCTGAGATCTGGATTTCAAAGAATAAAATCGTATTCTTAGTTTACTTAATCCCAATTTGTCACCGTGAACTTGGATGTTTACTATAATTCATCTACGATAAGTGATCGATATTTCATTGGTATTGAGCAATGAAGTAGTTAAGTTGCATCGAATTTTATCTAGTTATATCAACATTCTACTTACATCTGTAGTTCCGTGTTCAAGAAAAGGATAATAGACTTAAGAATAGTATAACGCAGTTCAAGATTACTCGCTGAGCGAGTGATTTTTTTATCGAAAAGCTCAAATTGAAGACACGAGAGGCAGAATCACGAAGATCGAGAAGAGATGGACATGTTGGAGCGGCTGATGAGCTCTGGATTGCATCAGCCAGCTCTGACGGCAGCCACACGATCTCAAAACGCCTTCGTGCAGGCCAATCTTTGCTCCGTGATCAGCCGGAAGGGTCGTCACCTAACTGGCACATTTTGCTTAAGAGGAGACACGATGGAGGGCATAATACAATGTCTGGTGTTTTTGAAAGCGTTTTCGGTAAGAAAACCTTTGTTACATACTTTTTACCATTTTATCTCCCATCCTGTATACTGTAGTGTCCAATGTGAAACACATTACGTAGCTCCATATACCTTGTCTTGGCCAATGAAAATATATTTTTTAAGCTATCTGAATGATATCTTGCTCATGTAGAGAATATGGGCGTATAGAGAACGTCAGAATTAAAGTAATCCTTAGAAACTATTCCCAACGCGATCAACTCGGTTTGTTAGCGTAAAAAGCATACCTGCTACTGGGGCATATAACGTTTCCGGGATGCCAAATACTGATACTGGGAAAAGCTGTCCATTTAACGAGCTCAGAAGTGGGCGAGAAACAATGTCGAAATTGTTTAGCCGGATATTCATGGAACGTCTGCTCGCGGAGAGCACAATCGTTGCGGAAGGCGATAATGACAGCGATACGTGTCTGCTACCACGCAGCTGTCGTATATGTCCACGTATATATGCATATTTACATGAACTTGTGCATCTGTATATTTAGAATCGAAGAGAATTCACGTTATTAAGTCTTGAGATTTTCGAAAAAGTGTTCGTATACATTTCCATTTAAAGCGAGGTCATATTCATTTTGCATATTGGAATATTGTTTTAGTTAAGACTTATTTAATTTACAATACACATTTTGATTAAGATTGTGTTTTTGGCAAAAGTTTCCCTGGTATCTATACGATATAATTTCAACAATTACAACGATGCGTTGTTTTATGCTCAGAGTGTATGCACAATAAAAGCACCCTGTGTCCCAGAAAGATCGACTGGACCCTTCGTTCTGGGGGACACTTCAATCTCCTTTCCTTTGATCGTTCCTGTTGAACCTTTCGAAAGGATATCTCATTCTGTCGCCGCTCCTTACGCGAGGATAACATACGGTTCCACCTTCTTTTCTTCGACCAAACCAATTGTCCCCGAAATGGAGACAAATCGAGGCCCGATTGATATCCGCCGTCTCCGAAAAACGGGGCGACCCTCCCACGAGAATCGAGGTGACTCGATGCCGGAGGCTACGACCTGACGACGTTAAATTGTTCATAATGAGAATTCGGTAGTGAACGGAAATCATCCAGTAACCTAACCCGACTTAGTATGGCCTTTGCGGGAACGGGGCTACGAAGGGAGAGATATAGGGAGGGACATAGGACGCGATTCACATTGAAAGGCGATGACTCCAGGGGGACTGGTCCCTCTCTTTGTTCTATCCTTTCACCCCTAACTTCGATTTGAAAGAAAATTTCTGTTTTCGTGTCTCGTCGCTCGCAATTCAACTGGGTCAAAGAATTTTAATCGCATCCCCCCGATGAAAATTACACGCGGTCTTCTGCTTACAAACCAACCTACAAGTCCAGGATCCTTGATGTTTTTAATCGAGGGCCTCTACACATACAGTATAGCCACAGCGTATTCTGTAGTCAGTAGTCTATCGTGCTACCCAGTTGAGTGGCTGGCATTCTTCGAAGGGTGCAAGGAAGGTGACGATAACATCTAGAAGAGAGGAGGTTGCCTATGAATTTTTATCCGTTCTTGGCCGTGGGCTACGGTCGTCTGAAACGAACGAATCGCGATGGCCTCCTATCAAGAAAAAACCACTTACCCCGACGAGCTCGTTTGACGATCAAAGTTATTGGCGTGGTGATATAACGAGGGTGGCTAGATCCGAGTCTGAATGTCGAAGCAGAAATTGGGCTTTGAATTCTGGAGTTAAGGCGTCTGAGGGAAACTTAACTCTGTCTGTGGTATTCGAAGCAATTTTCATCGTCCGAACAAACGTTTCATTTGCATAAAATGATTACTTATCGTCATACTGGATGGATGATATAAAGAAAGTTAGACTCCAGTTGATAAATTTAGAAATATACATTTTTTATTAAGTGCATATAGTTACAGATTGTATAACAATGAAATGTGAGTTTAAAATTAAACTGGATGAAAGAGCATTTATAAATTCAGTGTCAGTTACGTAACAGCGTTACGTGTTTTACTGTTTAGTCTTATCTGTTCACGATTGCGAATGGTGTACGTTATACTGTGCTAAATAGAGGGAATCACGTTTGACCACGATCTCCTGATGCGAATATTTCGTATTGGTTGTGGCTGCTCGCACGGAATACCGAATTACAAAGTTTCCGTGAGCCAAGTTTTAATATCCCAATTCTAGCCGTTGCTTCGCCTCAACTCACGTGCGATTCTTAATCCTGGTACGCTTAGTAACAAAGTTTCCATTAAGCTGGAGACGATTTCCCAATTGAGCGTGGATGAACTATTTATTAATTTTCATTTTGTTTATGGAAAATTGTAAATTTTTTTATCAACAGTGAAATATAAAAAATTATAGCGGCCTCCTTTATTACTGCCTAATTTAAATGTGTGCCCCACGTGTAGTATAGACATTTTTTATAAATCCAATACGCGATTACGTCAAAAGGACATTGACGTAATAGTACAGAAAGACAGCAAATACTCAAATATGATTATCTCGGAGACCAACCCGAAAATCAACTTTCATTCTGTATTTCTTTCTTATTTTTCTACAAAGGCTCACGTTATATCCGCTTTTATACGTTATTCGGCCGTACCTTGTATCTATCTAAAGGGGAGAAAACGTAGAACGCATTGATAATATTTTGAGAAGCGCTGTACGGTCAGGGGACCTTAATTGTCTGGTTACAGGAGAAATTTCGTTTCACGTCGATTCAAGATAATTAAAGGCGCCAGGCCTTTGTGTCTGCCAGCGCCGCAGTTTGCTCTTTCCTTCAGGGTACTAAGACCGGATGGGCGACGAAACTTCGCTGATATTTCAAGCTCTCTAGAGTAACAGAGCTACAAGGAGCAAGAGCGAGAGAAGTTCACTTTCCCATGTATTTATGTACGCTTTAGGCTAGGGAGGTTATATCCCGATTCCGTTCTCGGATGTATGTACATGTATGTTCGCATCTGCGACAGCCGTTCACGTCTCGGAGGGAACACGAGGCTTGGGTCTTCGAGGCTTGACCTGGTTCCAGGTGTTCCATCAGCCTTTCCTTGCGCCTCGGTCCTCCTTGTCGGGATCCACTGCAGGCCGTCCTCCTAATAATAGATTTATATGCATGGCTTTCCGCGAGTGGTACAGGTGGTTTCGTATAATTGCGCCGAGCGTACAAACCGGCTCGCTACCGTTCACGCATAATAATTGTATTTTAAATGCCGGCAGACGAGGAAAGTCCAACACGTTTAAATATTCATCTCTCTTTGCAATAGTTTTCAGTGCGCAGCAAGTGCCAATTTATTGCTTGGTATCCCTGTGTAATAATTTGTATCTCCTAAGTGTCTGAATGCTACTATTGTTGTTTGTAGAACTTCTTAAAACTCTGATTTACGAATATACTGTAGGAATCGAATTCCAAAGTTTTAGATTGTTTTTATTTGAAATATAAATTATTTTATCTAGAGCAAACGGGGATATAAAGTACAAAATACATTTCCGACTTTTTCAAAGCTAATACGAACAGTTTAAAAAAAAACTGATTATAATTTGATATATACTCATAAAGTCGTTCATCCAGAAGACTGGAGTTTTCTAACAATGTGCAGATCTTCAGTCGCTTCCTCGAGAAAGGAATCATGTAGGTCAGTGAGCTAGAAAATTTGCTTTTCGTCACTCTCGAGCGCGACGGACTTCAGTCTGAGTTTCATTCCTCGCGCATTATGTCAAGAGACAGTGGATTTTGGGATTAGACGGTTCCATCAATTTCCGGTACTGAAATCCTTGATTAAATCGGGCTCGACGTTATTTCTCCTTGTATCAATTGCATTTCATCCTGTTTTGCTCTTTTTAAGTTAGTCCGATATCACCGGTAATCAATAAGTTACTGAAACAAGATAGGAGTAGTAAATGTTCAATACATGCATGCTTTTATATGAAACTTTATGCAGCAATCGATATCGATATAAAAGCGTCCGTTTGCAAAATTTTGAATTTTTCAACTTAACGTGAATGAATAGCCTTTCGAACAAGTCGGATCGAAATCGTCGCCGGATTCAAGTGTGGACATTGAATACTTAAGTGGTCGGCCACCAAGAACCGGTCGTGTTTATTGGCAGCAGATCGGTGTTTGCACATCCGCCAAATGAAACCTTCGATGTCATTCGCTGTTGTTTACTCAGCAAAAACAACACCGTCGAGCCTCTAAACCGCGTTCGTTCACGGGTGCCTCAAATTTCGACGTGCAACTTCTGTTTGCAAACCGGTGACCTCGCAACTCCGCCACGTTTCAATTCACGGTTGTCACACGGCCGATTAATTTTTCTATAGGTACCGTTTAAAACTTTGAAACTGAACAAGTGAAGTATACTTCAAGGGATAATAAAAATTATAATCTAACTCTATTGATTTTTTATGTTTCTCAATGTAACTTGATTAGTCAATCACTTAATAATGTATTTAATGAAATAAATGAAAATCCTTAACGTATTGAGAAATATAAATATAAATGAAAATCGGCATGAAAATGACTTGCTCTACCACTCTACATTGAAAATTATCCGATTTTAAGTATCCTTTACAATTTCTCTACAAGTAATATCATATATTTTGCTAAGAGGAGTTTATATGCATAATTATATGTCTGGTGCAGATTAAAAACGAATCTAACGAGGCAATTTCCGCTGCGCGTCTCCTCGACACTCCGCGGCTCTCGCGACACTTCGGTTCTAAAGCGCGAAACGACCTAATGCACCGTTCGGTGAAGATGCTGAACGAGCATGCCTCACCTGGCACCAAAAGCATTGAAACGTAGATACTGATCTCTGAGAGGCGTTGGCGTTTCCCACGATCGGCTAGACATTCATTAAAAGCCATGAGCTCTTGATTCGCGTGCTACGATTAAGACGAGACTCCGCCCTCTTTTGCCTCGTCGCTCTCGCTTCCATCGTTTTACTCCCTTGTCAGCTTTCGTGAGCGGCGAACTTTAATTGCTGCTCGCATGTCCACTTTAAGCGCGA